TTTAATGTTCACATATTTGTGTTTTTTTTTTGTTTTTTTTCTCCAGCTTTTTTCCTTATAGGTGGTTGATTTCCAGTTTTATATTGTTGTGGTCAGAAAATATATTTGGTATGGTGTCAGTCTTCTTAAATTCATTGAGACTAGGTTTGTTCCTTAACATATGGTGTATCCTTAAGACTATTCCATGTGCTCTGGAGAAGAATATATATTCTGTTGTTTTGGGATAGAATGTTCTGTAAATATCAATTATGTTTATTTGGTTTAATGTGTCATTTAAGGAAATTATTTTTTATTGACTTTCTGTTGTCTATGTGGTATTCAGTTCCCTTAGTATATTTGTGTTTGGCTTTTTTAGATACTTTAAAAAACAACAAAATAGCAGATTTATAAGTAGAGGTCTTTCATTTTTTTATTAGTTGATGCTTTTATAGTGCAAATTTTTATTTCATCTGCACTTGTGGGATCTCAGTAAGGCAATGTCTCCTCAGGAATGGAAAATGCTATAATGTTGAGCATCTTTTCATGTGCTTTTATAGTCTCTGAGTTAGATGAGTTATATTTATCTCCCTTGGGTATCTCTCAGTCCTGAAAGGTGCAAGGAAGTTTCACATTTTTGTTTTTTTCTGCTGAATTATCTGGGAGTTGGGCAGCTTCCTTCAGACCTTGTTGAGGTGATCAGGGAAGAGGGGGTAGGGCAAGTGAGAGTAGAAATGATATGAAATTTCCTACCATTTTAAGTGAGACTCTTGGTTAGATGTTTATTTGTTTGCTGCAGTTTTTTAACTGGTTTCTGAGTTCTCACAAAGTTAATTTTTAACATATATCGTTGCTTATTCTTTGTTTGTGTTGGTTGAACAACAGCCTGGAGTTTCCTCATCCACCACTTGCTGAGGTCACCTCGTATTTCATTACTTTTAATGGGCAAATAATATGCCATTGTATTAATACTACTTTTTGTTTCTTCATTAATCTGTAGGTATATGCTTGGGTTGCATTCTGAGTAATCCCTGTTATGAACATTTGTGTAAATTTTTGCATAGGAATATGTTTTCATATTCATTCATAGGAATATACCTATGAGTGGAATTGTTTAGTGATATGGTAACACTGTGCCTACTTTCTAAGTAACTGCCAGACTGTTAACAATAATAGCTTACCATTTTACATTCACTCAATGCATCAGGGTCCCAATTTCTCCACATCCTCACCAGTGTTTGTCTTTTTTGTTATTTTGCTTAGAGCCAACCTACTGGTGTGTGGTGGCAATTCATGATTTTCATTTGCTTTTCCCAAATGACTAATGCTATTGAGTAATTTTTCATGTGCTTACTGGTGATTTGCATATCCTATTTGGAGAAACATTTATAAAAATTCTTCTCCCAATTTTTTAATTAACCATCTTTTTATATAATCTGGTTATAAGACCCATACCCAGACAAATGATTAGCCAATATTTTTTCCCCTTCTGTGGGTTATCTTTTTACTTACTTTACTTTCATTTATGCACAAAAGTTTTTTTTTAATGAACCTTTATTGTTCATATTATTAAAAAACTTCATTCTTTTCCCTTTCACCAGTTTCCTACCCCACCCTCTGCCCTTTCCCCATCTCTCATTGTCCTCATCCATAGGTGCACAGTTTATGTTCAGTCTCTTCCCGCACCCCCCACTCCTCTTTTCCCTGAGAATCATCAGTCCATTCCCCTTCCATACCTTTGATTCTATTATATTCACCAGTTAATATTGTTCATCAGGTTTTTCACTTCTCTTGGTTTTTAGATTCACTTGTTGATAGTTATGTATTTGTTGTTCATAATTTTTATCTTTATTTTCCTTCTCTCCCGAAAGAACCCCCTTCAGCAATTCATATTAATTCTGGTTTGGCAGTGATTAACTCCTTTAGCTTTTTTATTTATTTATTTATTTTTTATTAGTGAAACTCTTTATCTGGCCTTCGATTCTGAGTGATAGCTTTGCTGGGTAGAGTATTTTTGGCTGTAGGTTTTTGCTATTCACCACCTTGAATATTTCTTGCCATTCCCGTCTGGCCTGCATGGTTTCTGTTGAGAAATCAGGTGACAATCCTTTATAGGTAACTACCTGTTTCTTTCTTGCTGCTTTTAATATTCTCTCTTTGTCTTTTGCTCTTGGAATTTTAATTATGATATGTCTTGGTGTGGTCCTCTATGGATTCCTTTTGTTTGGGGTTCTGTGCGCTTCCTGGACTTGTAGGTTTAATTCTTTCACCAGGTGGGGGAAGTTTTCTGTCACTATTTCTTTCAGTATGTTTTCAGTATCTTGCTCTCTATCTTCTTCTGGGATGCCCATAATTCTGATGTTGGTTCGCTTGAAGTTGTCCCAGAGGTTTCTTACACTATCTTCAACTTTCTGGATTCTCTTGTCTTCTTGCTTCTGCGGAGGAGTATCTTTTGGCTCTTTATGTTCCAAATCTTTGACTTGATTCTTGCGATCTTCCATTCTGTTTTTAGAACTCTGTATAATATTTTTTATTTCAGAGAATGTATTTTTTATTTCTTGTTGATCCCTTATTATTTCTAGTTGATCCCTTTTCATATCCTCATAGGTTTTATCGACCTTTCCTAGGAAATTCTTGAAAAACCTTATAAGCGTGGTTTTGAACTCTATATCTAGTCTCTTTTTGTCCTCTCTTTCTTTCGTTTGTGATCTGTTTCCTTGTCTCGGCATTTTCGTAGCTTCCCTGAGTTGATAGCCTTAAAAGCCTCTGTGTTCAGCTTGGATAGGGTGGAGTTTCAAGGTGGAGCCTACAGTCTTTGCTTCCATCAGCCACGCCCTATGAGGCTCCTGAGTCTCAGTATTCCTCAGGGTCCTTCAGTACTCGTTGCAAGAACCTCTGAGAGAAAGATGCCCTCGATTTTTGCCTGCTTCCAAACAGTCTAGGCTCTCCTCCAAGGAGCCCGAAACTGGGGTTCAGTTCAGTTCGCAGTGGAGTTGGAAGTGGAGTTCAGAGCAGTTTGGAGCCTCTGACTCCCTCCTGCCAGGGCAATCCAGTGGTACAGTCAACCGCCCGTTCTCTGCGTGCAATGTGCACGCCTCTGGGACTTACTTTTGCTGCTCCCCTGGGTTTCTGCATTACAGACCAGGCTCCCTCTGTATGAGCCAGGGTCCCCAAAGTCTGGCCTAGAACTGGGGTTCAGTGCAGGTCGAACTGGGGCTCAGCACAATCCGGAGCTTTTGTCTCCTTCCCAGTATGGCAATCTAGCCGCCATGTCAATGGTCCATCCTCTGCGCATAATGTGAGCACCTTCGGGGGCACTGCCTTTTGCCTCTCCCCTAAGATTCCACCTAACAGTCCAGGATCTCTTTGTATGAGCCTGGTACCCCAGGGTCTGGCCTAGAACTGGGGTTCAGCTCTGTCGGATCTGGGGTTCAGCACAGTCTGGAGCTTTTATCTCCTTCCCGCTAGGGAACGCCAGCCAGGCACTCAGCCGCCCCCACCTCTCCAGCTCCGTCCTCTCATCGCGCACAGCATGTCTCCGTACCTTAGGCTTTTACAGCTCCTCTGATTTTCCTCTGGTTTTCTCTTTCCTTTTTTTCATTGTAGAATTTCCAGTCAGTCAACTTTCCTGTAGTTCTGGGTAATGTCCATTTTATATTTTGTTGTATTTTATTGAAATTGATATGTGAGGCTGCAGTTAGGTGTTATCTATGCCGCCATCTTGGATTCGCTCAGGCTAATCTTTTTCTATGCACAAAAATTTTTAATTTTTATGAAGTCCAGTTTATCAATTTTTTTTGGTTGCTTGTGCTTTTAATGTCACATGGAAGAATACATTGCATACTTCATGGTCACAGAGATTTATGTTGGTGTTTTATTTTATATTTTTCATATGGTGGTTTTTTTCTTTCACAAGTTTTGTAGTTTTAGTTTTTACATCTAGAATTGTGATCCTTTCTTTATAATATCTTTGAAAGTTTATTTAAGTAATCTTACAGTTTTATATGTTTACATGGTTCTCAAATTTTGTATTATAAATAGTGTTATATGAAAATATTTGCATACTTACACAGATATTTAGAAATATTATTTAACACTTGTAATAACACACATACACACAGACGCATATTTACATACACATATTTTTGTATGTATTCACACATTTGTTTGATTATTTCCTTAGAGTATATTCCTAAAAGTGACATTGTTGTGTCAAAGTAGTACAATTTTAAGACTTGTCATACATATGTTAAACTTCTTATAGAGCCAATATTTCTACTCCCAACAGAATGTGTAAATAGCCATTTCCTCAATCTTGAAGAATTAAAACAATAAACAGTTTTTTAGCTATACTATATATCTTGGGGGACTTGGATTCACTTTGAGTTCATTTTTATAAATAATACAAGATTGAGGTCCACCTTTATTCTTTTGCTTGTAGATATAGAGTTGTTTCAGCACAGCTTGCTGAAAAGACTATCTTTCCCTATTGAATTGTCTTGATACCATTGTTAAAAATCTGTTGCCCATAAATGTAAAGTTTTGTTTCCCGCCATTCATTTCTTTTCTATTGATCAGTATATCTATCTTTGATGCTAGGAACATATTCTTTGGATTAATGTAACTTTGTGTACCAGTTTCTAAGCTGAGAGAACTTTTCTCATCAAAAGTCGTTCCTTTTTAAAATATTAAATGAGGTGATAAAAATTAGCATCAAACTCTCATAAATAGCTTTGTGTTTTTTTTTTTTTTTTAGAGATGATGAATGTTTTTATGTGTATATTGGCCCTTCAACCCATCTTATTACTTATATGCTAAATCTCTTCTCAGAATAACTTAAAATATTGGTCGTTGGATAGAATTGAGAGTTCTTCTTCTAGAACTTAGTGACGTTATTTTGCTTTTTGTTTTCTCTATCATTTTCCAGAATGTACACAAAGATGAAGCAGTTCTAAAATAGTAGGTAATTCATTTAAGGAAATTCATCATGTGGTATTTTATTTTGCATTTTAAATGTTCTTTAGGTCTGCAAAGAAAGCAGAGTTGGAAGAAAATCAGCGGAGTTATAAACAAAAAAAGAAAAGGCGACGCATTAAGGTACAAGAAGATTCATCCAGTGAAAACAAGGTATGTGCTTTAATTGTAACTGGTACTCTAGACCATGACAGTATGTTATTATCTCTTCAGCATTTCATTCATTTGTCAAATTCTATTGGTTAATTTCTTTCTTATACTTTTTGTGGAAGGATTGACTTATTGAATGTATAAGTATGCAGAGCTATTAAATTTTGACATCAATTGTTTTGTTTCTTAACTAAATATAATTGAAATTTTAAGCTATTCTAATTCCATTATTTTACATTCCAAGGGCTGTAGATTTGATGTAGTGTACTATTTTCTGAAGACATATTTTACTCTGCATAATGATTCATATATAAATTATTTCTTCTAGCAATGACATTTGCCAATTTGAGTTTCTTGTATGTAAACAGAATTAGGTAAAGTACAATTCTCTGTATTATGTTTTATTTGGTCAACACTATTCTCTTTAGGGGAGGGTTCATTGTTTTAAATGAACCTTTTAGACCATTTCTAAGTATACAATTCATTGGCCTTAATTACATTCAGAATTGGAAAACTCTGTACCCATTAAGCAGTAACTCCCCTTTCCTGACTAACCCCCGTCCCTCATAACCTCTATTTTAATTTCTGTGTCTATGAATTTGCCTATTTTTAGGTACTAAAAATTTAGTGTTGTCATATTTCTCGTTTTGTGTCTGGTTTATAGTCATTGACAAATGTTTTCAAGGTTCTTCCATGTTGTAGCATTTGTCATAATTTTCTTTCTTTTTAAGGCTGGATAATATTCCATTGTATGTATATAGCACATTGTGTTTATTCATTTATCTGTTGATGGACATTTGGATTGTCTCCATCTCTGGCCATTGTGAAGAATGCGCTATTAACTTGGGTGTGCAAATATCTGTTTGAGTCCATGATTTTGATTCTTTTGATTATATTCTGAGAAGTGGAATGCCCAGATCATTTATTAATTCTGTGTTTATTTTATTGAGGAACTGTCATACTGTTTTCCTAAGGAACCAGGCTTTCAATTTTTCTACAATCTCACAATTGTTATTTTTTGTCTTTTTAAAAGTTTTAAATAGTTATCCTAATAGTATTTCATTTGTGGTTTTGATTTAAGTTTCCCTAATGACAAATAATGTTGACTATCTATTCATGAGCTTACTGAACATTTCTATATCTTCCTCAGAGAAAAGTCTATGCTAGTTCCTTGCCCTCTTTTTGGGGTTGTTTGTGTTTTAATACTTTTCTTTATTCCAAAGTATAATTCTGAGAGTTTTCAGTCTGTTTTCTTCTGCCTTTTCCTGTTGTATTATTTATTTTCATACGAAATGGATAAGTTCGCTACTTTGTTTATTACCTCATTTAATTTATTACCTCATAAGTTATGATCATTTAATTTTCATAGAGTAATTCTGAAGGAGATAAAGAAGATGATGAAGAGGAAGAAGAAGAAGATGAAAATGATGATTCCAAGTCACCTGGAAAAGGCAGAAAGAAAATTAGAAAGATTCTAAAAGATGATAAACTAAGAACAGAAACACAAAATGCTCTTAAAGAAGAGGAAGAGAGGCGGAAACGTATTGCTGAGAGGGAGCGGGAGCGAGAGAAATTAAGGGAGGTAAATCAATTTTTATTTATTTCTTTTTAATATGTGACTTATATAGATTCATATATATATTTCAGTATTAGAACAATAGAATGTTGTAACCAACCACAGGTTTAAAGTGATAGTTGGTTTTATTCTATTAGCCACTTAAAAATATTTAATGCTTTCTTAATATAATTAGATACATGGAAAGAGTTAAGATAATTATATGATGACCAACATGATTATGTTTTATCTGGAGTAGAAAAATGATTAAATAACCTTTTTATATAAAACGTTCTAGCAGAGGTACAAATGGATGGACTAGCTTTATAAATTTCTTTGTACCCATTACCCAGTTTCAAGTTACCAACATTGTTTCATCTATTCTGTCACTTTTAGATTATTTTGTTGAAATCTCAGAAATGATATTCTGTCTGTATGTAATTCAGCATATATTGTGGAAAGATAAAGACCTTTTAAACATTCTATAGTATCATTATTACCCTAAACTATTAACATTAATTCCATAATATCAAATATCTAGATATTTAAAATTTCTTCATTTTCCTCAAAAACATAGTAATAGTTTTTAAATATAGTTGGTGTGTACCAGAATCCCAAGAAGGTCTCACTCACTACATATTATGTTGCATTTGGATGCTGTTTCTTATGTGTACTTTAACCTGAAGTTTTCCTTATGGTGCATTTGTTTAAGAAACCAGATTATTTGTATGGAGTTTCCTATATTCTGAGTTTTGCTGGTCACATCCCTGTTTTGTATTTTCATTGGCTATTGTATGTCCTATTCACTATTAGTTGGAAATAGATGCCTGATCAGATATAAAGTCAGTTCTTTCTTCGATAGAAATACTCATAGGTGATAATATATACTTCTTCTTGGATTTCACTTAAGGGTACTTTAAATCTAGTTGTCACTTTTTGTGATATTAATTTTTATTTAAAAATTTGAAATAACAATTTGGTAAATAGCATTAAAATCCTATATTATAATTTTCTAATTTTGATTCCTGTCAGTGTGTTTCACATAACCACATCACTGTATGTGCATATGCTGTATTTTTCTCTCCCTTTAAAATTATTTTTTCCTTTTTATTGAATTTATAGGGGTGATACTGGTTAATAAATTTATACAGATTTCAAGTACACAATTCTACAACATATTTACTATATTGTGTATTCACCATTCCATTTCCTCTCTCTTTATTTTAGGTAGTTTAAATGTGTATTATCATAGTCCATTTATTTTTAATTGGCTTATCCTGTTTATTTTCTAATTATAAATTTTTATATTTATTAAATTGAATATACAGGTCTCTATCCCTTTTTGTCCCATTTTTATTAAATGATTTTTCTCCTAGTTATTTATATTTTACTCTTTCTTGACATATCTAATAATGTTTCATTAAAAATGGACATTGTGCCGAAACCGGTTTGGCTCAGTGGTAGAGCGTCGGTCTGCGGACTGAAAGGTCCCAGGTTCGATTCCGGTCAGGGGCATGTACATTGGTTGCAGGCACATCCCCAGTAGGGGGCGTGCAGGAGGCAGCTGGTCGATATTTCTCTCTCATCGACGTTTCTAGCTCTCTATCTCTCTCCCTTCCTCTCTGTAAAAAATCAATAAAATATATTTTAAAAAATAGACATTGTAATTTGGATGTTGTTGATTATAGTCTTCTGTTAGTGGGTGCTTGGCATTTTTCTCTACAGACATTTAAGTCACTTTAAGTTCAGCTTAATTATTATATATATAATTTAAAAGCTTTATTAAGTTGTTTTAAATACTCTTTATGTATGGTTTTGCCCCATTGCTAATGTGTGGCCCTTCTCTGCTTTCTATTGAATGCCCTCAGTTATACATGAAACTCTCTACTGTAATTGCATGCTTTCTAGACCTCTGATCATTGGGGATTGTTTAACTCATAGCTCCTGAATCACTCTTTGTCTGGCTTTGTGCAGACAAAGATCCCTCATATACATTTTAATATTCAGCTAAAATTCACAGTGACTCTCATCTTGATTTCTGGAGGTCTTTTTGTGTAGCTCTTTTCTCTCTATAGTTCCTTGTAATTTCTGTAGTTTTCTTGACCTTTGTTCCTCAACTCAGCACAACTCTAGTACTCTGCTTATGCCATGTATTGAGATATCCAGGGTGAGAAACGATGAGATTAATCACAGACATTACCACAGTGCTTCTAAGTCTTGTGGAGGTTTTTTGTTTGTTTGTTTGTTTTTTTTACTTTGGAAAACATGTAAACCTGTGATCTCTCCTGGTCTTCTTAAGCCAAAATATTGGATTTGTGGTTTTGAAGTAGATGTTTATATTTTGAAAAATTTCCTTTAGTAAGAGTAATACTCTAATCTTGTTTGCAAGATTTCTTTGAGCTTAACTATAGTTCCCTTTCTTGTAGGTGATAGAAATAGAGGATGCTTCTCCTACCAAGTGTCCAATAACAACCAAGTTGGTTTTAGATGAAGATGAAGAAACTAAAGAACCATTAGTACAGGTTCATAGAAATATGGTTATCAAATTGAAACCCCATCAAGTAGATGGTAAGAAACTGTTAGATGAATAAAGCATTTTAAATTAAGTTTTACCAATATTTGGTGTGTCTCATAATTCTACTAAGCACTGGAGGTACATTGGTGACTAAAACAAGCATGATCCAGGCTCTTATAGAGCATATAAGCAAATGAAGAACAAAATTTAATGATTATAGTGATAGTGAATGTTAACAAAAGTGGAAGTAAGTGCCACTTACAAATGGATATATATGGCAAGTGTATCTCACCTGGTCTGCAGTGGTTGACTGTGGTCAGCAGCATGGTGGTGGGGAGTTAGTTAGCTAAAGACTTTATCGGGCAATGCTATTTCAACATTTTGAGGTATGTTTGTTAATAATTTTTCTATATTGGTATTAGAAAGTTAACAAATTATCTCTGTCCTCTGCTTTGTTAGAGTTGAATTAGTAAATCCGCTTTGAGTGTGTATATACTAGTAAATGAATTCATAAGGGAAGTTCTACAGTTGCTCCTCTTGAGTAGTTAGTCCTCTTTCTTGTTCATTCTTTAGTAATGAGTGAAGGGAGAAATGATAAATTATCTCCTGTTATTTTATTGACTTACTCAATAAATCTGAAAGTATGTTTGATAGAAATATGTTTCTTCTTTGGGCAAAGTTTCTATTTTAGATCATTTGTATGTTTCTTTGGACCATCTCAGGGAATGGTGGTCTGTATAGGTTAGATAAGGTGAATGAAGGAAAGTAACCTTATTGTGTGTGTGTTTTCACTGCCTTTTTTTCCCCTAGTTATTGGGGGAGGTTTGCATTGGGGGAATCCTCATTTATATTTAAGAGATTCTTTATTTGTTTAAAAAATTCTGTTTCCTAGATATTTCGTTATTGTTAATGTTTTTGATATGTTTATGAAGGACGATTTTTAACTTGGGCCTTTACATTGAACTTAATGAAGTTGTTATTTTCAGGTGTTCAGTTTATGTGGGATTGCTGCTGTGAGTCTGTTAAAAAAACAAAGAAATCTCCAGGCTCAGGATGTATTCTAGCCCACTGCATGGGCCTTGGTAAGACTTTACAGGTACGAACATGAAGGTATTCTGTTCTTGTACATTTATGAATTTAAGAATAAAGGGTTATTATGTTTCAGACAGTTATAGGGGTGGAGATAAAACAGTAAATAAGAATAATAAGATCCCTCCCCCTAGAAGCTTATATTCCGCTGATGGAGAGAGGTTTTATTCAAAAGAAGACTATATTTTCAGATAACAAGTGTTAAGGGAAAATAAGGAGGAAAGCATCTTTTAGGAGGTGCTATTTGAGCAGATATCCTAGTGAAGAGAAGGAATGGCATTAGAGGCATAGCCAGTAAAAACTGCTGAGATTCTGAGGTAGAAATGAATTTTTTAATAGTCTGTCATAGTAATAAGAACCTAAAGTATTTTTCACTATTAAGTACTACATTTCTGAGTGTCAGGAATTATAGCAGAGTTGGGATATTAATGAATGTATGTATTTTAAACCATAAAACAATTATTATAGATTCAGAACACTTAAAAATGGAAAACTACTCCATAACTCAATTGTCTGTTAGATGCAGTGGTATTTTCTTTCTTTTTATAAAAAAAATATTTTGCCGAAACTGGTTTGGCTCAGTGATAAGAGTGTCGGCCTGCGGTCTGAAAGGTCCTGGGTTCGATTCCGGTTAAGGACATGTACCTTGGTTGCGGGCGCATCCCCGGTGGGGGTGTGCAGGAGGCAGCTGGTCGATGTTTCTCTCTCATCGACGTTTCTAGCTCTCTCTCTCTCCCTTCCTCTCTGTAAAAAATCAGTAAAATATAAAAAAAAATTTTATTGATTTTTTTACAGAGAGGAAGGGAGAGAAGGATAGAGAGCTACAAACATCGATGAGGGAGAAACATTGACCAGCTGTCTCCTGCACACCCCCCACCGGGGATGTGCCGGCAACCAAGGTACATGCCCTTGACCGGAATCGAACCCGGGACCTTTCAGTCCGCAGACTGACGCTCTATCCACTGAGCCAAACCGGTTTTGGCAACAGTGGTACTTTCTAAAAGGTTGTAGGGATGTTCTGTGGAGACCAGGAACTTACTAGTAGTAGCTGTTTTGGTGTGTTCACTTCTTGTATTCATATTAGTGGCCCGAGGCACAGAATTTGTGCAAGAGTAGGTCTTTGCAGTCCTGGTTGCTTCAGCCGTCCCTTGAAGCCCTGACTTTGTTTGGATGGTTGTTCTGCTCTTTGGCTGTTAGGTCAATTTGTATATTATACTTTTATTATAGATGATTATTACTGGTTAAATAATCATGGAGCTGTATAATTATACATTATCTAGTTGAAACGCGGCCCTCCCCCCCTCCTTTTTTTTTTTTTTTTTTTTTTTTTTTTACATAGGATATCTCTTTCCCTTTATTTTGCCTGGTTTGGAAGTTGTGAGCTTTCGTTAGCTGCTTTATTGTTTAAAGCAGAAAGAAACAAACTGAAACAACTATTGAATTGTAAGATTGCTTGATTTAACTTCTTGCAGATACTGATATCATTTGTTTTTTTTGTAGGTAGTAAGTTTTCTTCATACAGTTCTTTTGTGTGAGAAATTGGATTTCAGTACAGCTTTAGTGGTTTGTCCTCTTAATACTGCTTTGAATTGGATGAATGAATTTGAGAAGTGGCAAGAGGGATTAAAAGATGATGAGAAGCTTGAGGTATCATTTTATGTTTTTATTATTAAAATAACAGCATGGAATTAATATAGTAAAAAATCCTTTTTTATTACCAGTGACATATATTTCAGTGGGGATATTTAGTATTTGTACATTACTAATATCTACTTTTAAAAATCTTTATTTTCCCACAAAAGGTCTCTGAATTAGCAACTGTAAAACGTCCTCAGGAGAGAAGCTACATGCTTCAGAGGTGGCAAGAAGATGGTGGTGTTATGATCATTGGCTATGAGATGTACAGAAATCTTGCTCAAGGAAGGAATGTGAAGAGTAGGAAACTTAAAGAAATATTTAACAAAGCTTTGGTTGATCCAGGTAAGTTATTAACAGGTACTGTAATAGAGACGCAAATTGAATAAAAAATGCACATTAAGTTTTAATTAACATACTAATTGAACACCTGCTAATTAACTAGTTTTGTTTCATTTGTACTTCAGGTTTTTGCCTTTTTGTTTCTTGGTATAATTTCATGAAGAGGAAATCACCCTTACTTTTACCAACTGTTCAGAATACACATCCTTAGAATAGAAGTGTTTGTGGTTTTTAGGAGAGACCTTGTAAATAATTAAAAATGTCACGTGCCTGTGCCACAATTGCAGACATTTCCAACTGTCTGATTATTATATGCCTAGTTGGAGTATAATTTGTACAAAAGGAGGGGCGTGTTCTTCATTCCAGCCTGCACCCTCTCCAATTTGGGAGCCCTCGAGGGATGTCCAACTGCCCCCACTGGGATTGGGCCTAAATGGGCAGTCAGACATCCCTCTCTCCATTCCTGGATTGCTTGCTCCCGATTGCTCGCTTGCCTGCCTTCCTGATTGCCTCTAACCGCTTCTTCCTGCCAGCCTGATCATCCCCTAACCACTCTGCTGCCGGCCTGATTGATGTCTAACTGCTCCCTTTGCCAGCCTGTTGGCCCCTAACAGCCCTCCCCTGCAGGCCTGGTCACCCTTAACTGCCCTCCCCTGCAGGCTTGATCGCCCCCAGTTGCCCTCCCTTGCTTGCCTGGTCCCTCCCAACTGCTCTCCCCTGCTGGCCTAATCGCCTACAATTGCCCTCCCTTGCAGGCCTGGTCCCTCCCAACTGCCCATCCCTTCTGACCATCGTGTGGTGGCCATCTTGTGTCCACATGGGGGCAGCCATCTTGTATAGAGGAGTAATGGTCAATCTGCATATTACTCTTTTATCAATATTAGATAGGATAGAGGCCTCGTGCATGGGTAGGGACCAGCTGGCCCTGAAGGGTGTCCCAGATCAGGGTGGGGATTCCCTTGGGGCTTGGGGCAGCCTGGACGAGGAACCTGTGGTGGTTTTCAGGCTGTCCACGCCCCCTGATTACCCAAGCAGAAGCCCTAGTATCTGAAATTGAGACCTCAAGTGTGTCCAGTTAGAGTGAGTATGCAAATTAACTTTATGTGGGATTGTTGTTGGGCCTAAACGGGCGGTCGGACATCCCTCTTGGGGTCCCCAGATTAGGGAGGGTGCAGGCTGGGCTGAGGGACACCCCCCCCCATGCACGAATTTCATGCACCAGGCCTCTAGTATATGTATAAGTTTCTCTTCGTCTCAGGTAATCTTTTTATCTTGATACAGTAGTTCTGAAATTCCTATTTAGATACTGTTTTTCACTTGTAAAAAATATTTGTTTTTCAAATACTTCACCTCCATTGGTGAGATCTTTTTACCCTTGTGATTATTTTTATTGTTACCTATTTTTGAATAACATTATAGTATTACTTCAATACTCTATTATTAAGATACTAGGCACCTGTTGCAGGAATATTCCTGTAAGACTTCTGTCAGGCTTCCCTTTGCCATCCCCACCTCTCCTGCTGTGGCAGGCAGGGCAGGGCAGGGCAGGGCAGGACAGGGCGGGGCAGGACGCCTTTGGTGTGCACTACTGGTGCACATTCCGCCCCACCCACTTAACCCGCAGTGCCTGCTGCCCATGCTGGCTCCCGCAGCTGCCTCCACTGCACAGCTGCGCACCTTGCTCCACTCCGTCCCGCATTCGCTGCCAGTGCTTTCCCTCCAACAGTTGCAGTCACCTTGCTTTCCACTTTCCCTCCTTCTTCCTTCTATGCTGTCTGCAATCTTCACTCCTCCCTCCCTCTGTGTATGCAAATTAACTTACATCTTTGATGGATTAATTTGCATGCCCAAACGGATTGGTTGGTGGGCATGGCTGGTGGGTGTGGCTTGTGTAGTGGAGTGATGGTTAATTTGCATATTACTCTATTATTAGGTTAGATAATTAACACTAGTTTATGCCACATGAACCCAATCCAACAGTAGATGTAATATAACTATTCTTATAAGAATGATGTTTATCTTCCTACATGAGCAGGGTTGTAAAAGAATTAACTTTATTTACTTAAATTGATTACAATGTATTTGTTATATATTAATTAAATTTTTTTTTCTTACATTTTTGTAGGCCCTGATTTTGTTGTTTGTGATGAAGGCCATATTCTAAAAAATGAAGCATCTGCTGTTTCAAAAGCTATGAATTCTATACGATCAAGGAGGAGGATTATTTTAACAGGAACACCACTTCAAAATAATCTAATTGAGTGTGAGTTAATATCTGCATTTATGCTATAGGGTAGTGTTTCCCAAACTTTTGACATATGTGTACCCCTTCTATAATTTTCATAATGCTGAGTACCCCTCGTACTCATAAGAACGTAGAATTAGGCGCAGCTAAGCACAGTGCAGTGCATATCCCCACCAAACTCCGATGCAACGTGTACCCCCACCAGACTCTTCCCGTACCCCTTGGGGTACGCATACCACACTTTGGGAAACACTGCTATAGGGTATTAGTTTGCCGCTTTGCCATTCACCTTCTGTTTTTCTAATATATTCTCTGACCATGAACTGTATAGGTCCATCTTAGTCTACTGTGAGAGAATACCTTCCATTTTAAATGTAACTTTATAAATATAACTGGTAAACCACAGGTAAGTGGTATGCCATTGTGAGTCTTCAAGTATAAATAGAGAACTTGAAATATGTAAACAGTATCAGAAGTTTTAATGATTGCTTTAAAACAAGCATATCAAACTCAAAGGCTAACATGGGCCAAATAAACAAGGTTTATGTGGGCTGGATAAAAAAAAAAAAGCTTTTTAAAAAAAAATATATTTTATTGATTTTTTACGGAGAGAGGGAGTTAGAAACATCGATGAGAATCATCCATCAGCAGCCTCTTTCACACCCTCTACTGGGAATGTGCCCGCAACCACGGTACATGCCCCTGACCGGTATCGAACCTGGGACCCCTCAGTCCATAGGCTGATGCTCTATCCATTGAGCCAAACCGGTTTCGGCATAGTAATGTAAGTTTATTTTTTATTTATTTTTTATTTTTATTTTTTTAAATATATTTTATTGATTTTGTACAGAGAGGAAGGGAGAGAGATAGTCAGAAACATCGATGAGAGAGAGTCATCGATCAGCTGCCTCTTGCACACCCCCTACTGGGGATATGCCCGCAACCAGGGTACATGCCTTTGACCGGAATCGAACCCGGGACCTTTCAGTCCCTAAGCCGACGCTCTATCCATTGAGCCAAACCGGACCCGGCTGTAAGTTTATTTTGATAGAGACATGCTGAATACAAAGGGCTGAAATAAGTGAACAATTGTTAACATAAAATAATAGAACATTTTAATAAAAATTATTTTTTTCTTGAACATTAAATTAGGAGACACCAAATATTTGTACAATTAATAAGCGCAACGCTTTTCTTGTTCTTCAAAAGTGAAATATTTCTTGTTGCACACACCAAACAAGTCAGTCCAAGACTTAATAACGTGGCAATTGGCTCCAAAATATTCGCTGCTAGCATTAGTGAAGAGAAATGGTGTGCCTATGTGTAAGGTGCATAAGGGAAATGACTGCAACACGATTATAGTAATCAGTCATTAGTGAATGTTGTAGTTTGTTATTAATAATTATGTATAACAGGATATTGTAAAAATTAAGGTACGGAATTTTTGTTAAAATGTTTCCTACATACTGTTATATTGGCTGGGCTGCAAAAATATTTGTGGGCTGCATGCAGCCCATGGGCGAGAGTTTGACATGCTTGCTTTAAAAGCACAAATGCATTTGTGACTATTCAGGAGATACTGTAATAAAATATATCCAGTTTTGGGTGAGGTCCTAATAGGAAATTGTAAAGAAATGTGAGGTATGAAAATTTTAGGAAATTGGAGATGGGCAAGGAGAGCTATGTTGAATCCATGTCAGCATAGATTTTGTGGTGGGGAGGATAAATGTGAATATAGGAAAATGACTTGTGAAATTTCCTCATTTTAATTTGTGTAGTAATGCTAAAAAGTGAACACAAGTTTGTTATTTAGCAAGTAACAAATTGAAATTTATTATAATCCACTATAGTAGCATTTTGTTATTTTTATGTTGTTTTCATTCATTTAGTGTATTTACTACAGACCTGATGCACAAAATTTGTGCACGGGGCTCAGCCCTCGCATCCCGCTGTTTGGTCTAATTAGCATATTATGCTTTTATTATTATAGATAGTAATTTAACTGTTTTTTTAAAATTATTTTTAATTCTGGTTATTATTTCACCTTATTTTTATGTGTTCTAGTTTCCCCCTTTTCTGTTACCATACTTACACAAATTCTGTTTCTCACTGTGGTCCGATTTTTATGGGGTAACTGATAATTCTGTTAAGGACTTCTAGAACTAAATCTGTAATATAAAATTTTATATACTAGCTTATTACCTGATTTTATTATTTTGATTCAGTATCTATTTTTAAAAAAAATATGTTTTTATAGCCAAAACCGGTTTGGCTCAGTGGTTAGAGCATCTGCCTGCAGACTGAAAGGTCCCAGGTTCGATTCCGGTCAAGGGCATGTACCTTGGTTGCGGGCACATCTCCAGTAGGGGATGTGCAAGAGGCAGCTGATCGATGATTCTCTCTCATCGATGTTTCTAACTCTTTATCCCTCTGTCCTCCTCTCTGTAAAAGACCAATAAAATATATTTTATTAAAAAATATATATTATTGATTTCAGAGAGAGATATAGAAACATCAGTGATGAGAAAGAATCATCGATCGGCTGCCTCCTGCATGCCCCACATTGGGGATTGAGTCAGCAACCTGGGCATATATCCTGACTGGGTATCGAACTGTGACCTCCTGGTTCATAGATTGATGCTCAACCACTGAGCCATGCTGGGCGGTCTTTATGTGTTATGGTTTTTTCCTAATATACTATTGTTGATTATAGAATCTTGGTTAATTAATAGAATACTTGTTTTATACTCACATATATTATAAAGAATACTGAGTTATAATAAAAGAGACAGTGTAATGGGGGAAGAAAGGGGATTTGGGGGGTGGGGAGAGAGATCAAGAGAGTGACATTGATGTGAGGGAGACCATTGATTGGTTGCCTCCTGATCTATCCCAAATAGGGTTGGGGATCAAACCTGCAATCCAGGTACTTGCTCTTGACTGGAAATTGAATCCACAACTCTTTGGTGCATGAACCAACATTCTGACTATTAACTAGCACTGGCCAGGGCTGGTTTTTATTTGAATTTCTCATCTGATTTAGGAAATCTAGTTCTAGATAAGACTTATAACCAATGTTTAATCTGTCTTCAGTTGGGTGTTCTTTCTTTGTAGATTAATTATAATGCTTCCATGGCATGCATATTTTGATATAAGAAAATTTTTCTGAGACCTTTTTGCCATTATTATTGTTAATAAACTAATGTCTTCTCTTTTAGATCATTGCATGGTTAACTTTATCAAGGAAAATTTGCTTGGCTCTATTAAGGAGTTCAGAAATCGATTTATAAATCCAATTCAAAATGGTCAGTGTGCAGATTCTACCATGGTAGACGTCAGAGTGATGAAAAAGCGTGCTCACATTCTCTATGAGATGTTAGCTGGATGTGTTCAGGTACAAGTACATTCCATAGTAATAAAATATTATCACTTCATTATATTGCAATACCAAAATGTTTTCTGAATTTAAATTTTATTTTCTGTCCTCCCCTCCTTTTTCAGTATATAGTTTACAGTTACACCTCCTTACGTTGTCTTCAAAAGTTTACTCAACATTGACTTTTTAAAAACTTCCATTATTGATTTGCCTAGGGTACATCTTCATATTTGAATATGTAAATGTTTAGATTCTTTATCCTTAAGATGGGGACTATGTAAAAAGAACACAGCTATTATGATTAAGAAATTTCTGTGCTCATTCTAAATCTATAATTCTAAACCTCATTTATTTGAAATGGTTGTAGGAAAGGCATTTATGATTTGCAAGAAATGCCATTTTAAATGTAATCCTAAAAGAACAGTTTTATTATTGTCAAGTACAAACAAAAACCTGAATGGTCTAGTATTATTATTTATAATGCATTTTCAATGAATAGATAACTCTGTAAAGACAGAGCCTGCAGTTAATAGATCTCAAGGTCTGCACTTTTTCTTTCTATTTTAGATACTAATGGTAGCCACATAGATGTAACAAATGAGACAGGCCATCCTTATGCCTGAGTTATGACCCACAGGTTGAGAACTGCTAGAAGGATCCCCTAAGACCATCGGAAAACACAGATATTTACATTACGATTCATAACAGTAGCAAAATTATAGTTACGAAGTAGGAACGAAAATAATTTTAAAAAAATATCTATTTTATTGATTTTGTACAGAGAGGAAGGGAGAGAGATAGAGAGTTAGAAACATCGATGAAAGAGAGTAATCGATCAGCTGCCTCCTGCACACCCCCTACTGGGGATATTCCCGCAACCAAGGTACATGCCCTTGACCAGAATCGAACCCAGGACCTTTAAGTCCCCAAGCCAACGCTCTATCCATTGAGCTAAACCGGTTTCAGCAGGAACAAAAATGATTTTATGGTTGGGGGTCACCACAACATGAGGAGCTGTATTAAAGGGTGGCAGCATTAGAAAGGTTGAGAACCACTGGCCTAGACCGTGTTATATTTTTTTCTGGATTAGTTAGTCATGTGTATCTTGCATATTAGTGTTCCTATTCCAATAATTGGTTCAAGAATGCTTATATGTAGCTTGATTTCTCAATTGGGTAAAGATTGCCCCTTGCTATAGGCGTTATTTTCTGGCATTTTGCACATCTTACACAAAAAGCACAACTCAGAGTTCATCAGACTTTGATTCATCACTTTTACTATATGATTAAAGCAAGCCTTTTTACTAGTACTACCTATTATACCCCCTACCCTCCTTTTTTCTCTTCATGTATATATTTATAATGCATTTTCAATGAATAGATAACTCTGTAGAGATATACATATTTGAAGTGTATATACATATTTGAAGTGTGTGTGTGTGTGTGTGTGTGTGTGTGTGTGTGTGTGTGTGTATGAAGCCTGTTGCACAAAATTCGTGCAAGGGGCTTGGCCCTCACAGCCCCAGCTTCGTCCGAAAGGTCTTCTGGACGGTTATTCAGCCATTTGGTCTAATTAGCATATTACACTTTTATTATTATAAATACATATATAGAGAGGCGAACATTTGAAAACCTAAATGCTCACTTGGTAATATGACCACTTCCATTTAAACTGTGTTGCCGTATCTTTACCAGTGCATCATATTCTGTAGTCATAGGAAATATATTGACTGCACTCATATGGGATATGGGAATCATTGTGTGAATTAAGTGGGTAAATCTATTTCAGAAGATGTTTTCTTATATGTTTGGTATCTATTTCTGTGTGTGTATCTTTTAGTTGCAAGCAGTGATAATTCTTAGAACAGTTAATTCCTGTCATATATTTAGGTTAACTAATTTTCTTTCTCTTGTTAATTACAGAGGAAAGATTATACAGCATTAACAAAGTTCTTGCCTCCAAAACATGAATATGTGTTAGCTGTAAGAATGACTGCTATTCAGTGCAAGCTCTATCAGTACTACTTAGATCACTTAACAGGTAACAAACACTATTGGTTTATTGTTTTTATCTTTCCTTTAAATACATTCTTTTCTGTAGAATTCTGTCTTGCCAATTTTACTGTGTCAGCTGTCCTTTTTCAATTTTCAATTGAATAAAATTGGTATGATTATTTTGTAAAGATACAAAATATTTTAAATTAAAAAACAGTAAACTTTTCAAAATAAAATCAATTTAGAATAAACAGCTGAAAAAATATACACAGCATATATGACTAATTTGTATAAAGCTTTTATTTCAGAAAATTTATAAATATGAATAAATTCATAAAAGAAAATACATATAATTCCGGTATATGATTTGAAAACATTTAACCATATTAATAAGCATATAAATAAAATCCATGAAATCTTTTTTTAGTTATCACATTGACAAAGTTTGAAGGAAAGGAAGTGGCAAAATATAAAGCAGAGCATATGTAATGATCCCAATGTTATAAATAATACATAAAAATGCCTAAATATACCAAAATGTTAACAAAGATTGTCTTCTAAGTGATTTCATTATGATGAAATTTTGGTTTATTCCTTATTCTTTTCTATGGGACTTTCAAAATACCATGATTAGGAATCATTTTGTCATGAATAAACTTGTTTTTGTGTGTATGTGTGTGTCTGTGGCTGTGTGCCCAAGGTTGTCACTGTTCACAGAACAAAACCTAGTCTCTGTCCTGGAGTGGGGTTTTTTATTGGTCACTTTATTCTGATACTTTATTCCAAGTGATGTGGCAGATTTATTCAGGGAATACAGTTTAGTAGGTCCTCTTCAGCCATTGTGGATACAATAATTTATTAAAAATTAATGGAAGGCGGAAGGGTGTGCACACATATTAAAACAATACTTTATATTATATTAATAGTTAATGTGATTCTGTTTGTAATAGCAGTGCATTTTATGGAATGAAATAATGCTGATAGTCTTTAAGAATTGTTCTGCTTTTGGGAATATAGGATTTGAATGTTAGTATTTTATAGAATTGCTTTCTTGCTATTTTTAAAAAATATATATTTTATTGATTTTTTACAGAGAGGAAGAGAGAGGGATAGAGAGTTAGAAACATCGATGAGAGAGAATCATCGATTAGCTGCCTCTTGCACACCCCCTACTGGAGATGTGCCCGCAACCAAGGTACATGCCCTTGACCAGAATCCAACCCGGGACCTTTCAGGGGATCAGGCATAAGGATGGCCTGTCTCATTTGTTACATCTATGTGGCTACCAAAATAACGCTCTATCCACTGAGCCAAACCGTTTTCAGCTTTCTTGCTATATTTTAAAAACAGAGATTTCTTGTTGAATTTTGAAAGAATATAACTTCTAATAAGCCCATGTTTGTTTTCCTTTGTATATCAATGTTTTCCTTTGTATATCAACCATAATGTTTTAAATGATAATAGTTATAGATATAATTAAGTAACCAAATATAGACATCCTAAGGAGAGAGTTAACCTTATAGTTTAAGATAGGGAGATGTTCAGATCTCTCTTTCACTAATCTCTGAGTGATAACGCGTGCTAAATTTGGCCATTTAATGATATATTTTTCCATTTAAAATTTTGGTTTAGAAAAAGTGCTAGCCACAGTGTTTTCAAATATTAGAGAATCAGTTGTCTTTAATATCCAGTAGCCAAATGTTAATAGCTCATATATAGATGTTAAAATGTATTATTTTGAAAGCAATGCGATATTTAAGAATTAAAGTGGCCTGATTTCTTGTGATTTTAATTTATAGGAGTAAAAATCTAAATCACTAATTGCCAAAGCTTCAAAACACTGAATAGTATGATTGTTAAATAACAATTTGGTTCCATGAATCTTTCAGTTATGAAAAGGATCAGGATTTCCCCCATACTAAATATGACATTTTCTTTTCTTAAACTATAATAACTTGAGTTAATAGCTTCTCTTGAGAAAACATCCATGAAAGGCCAATTGCATTATATTCTCACTACAAACCATTATTACATTATTTCTTCTGAAATGTCACCCACCGGTTTCACTTACATTTCTGTAATATATTCTAAAAATTATTATGGTTTTCTAGTTGACTCTTTAGACTCAATTTTAAGAAGTTCACTTAAATTTTGCTTTTAATACTAGCAATAGTTTGATGTTAATTTTATTTGTGATAATTTGTAATATTTGCAGAATTAATGTCATAAGAGACTGACTTTTAATTAACTTCAAGGAAATTACAATCTACACACTATTGTAAAGCATACAAGTATAGATCATGTGAAATTACAATTCAGACAATGGGGCAAGATATTTACAAATCATGTGTTGGATAAGGGATTAATATCTATTAAAGAGCCTCCTAGAACTCATCAACAAAAATTCCAAACAATGCAATTAAAAAATGGGCAAAGGACTTCAATAGTTATTTTTCTAAAGAAGATAAATGTCTGAGAAGCACATGAAATGATGCTATATATAACATCATTAGTTATTAGAGGCATGCAAATCAAAACCATGAGATACATTTCACACCTGATAGGATGACTACTATAATAAGAACAAGAAAAATATCAAGTATTGGAATTGATGTGGAGAAATTAGAACCTAGTGCATTGCTGTGGGAATGTGAAATGGTGCAGCTGCTGTGCAAAAACCATCGTGGCAGTTCCTCATAGTAAAACATAGATTCATCAGATGTTCCAGCAATTCCACTCTAGGTATATAACCAAAATAATTGGACAAAGTGTGATGTGTGTGTGTGTGCGTGTGTGTGTGTACACATATGCACAATGGAAAATATAATTTCGTCTTAAAAAGTAAGGGAATTCTGACAGGTTACAGCATGAATGAATCCTGAAGACATCATGCTTACTAGTGAAATATGCTAAATGCAAAATGACAAATACTATATAATTCCACTTAGTCAGATTTATAGAGGCAGAAGGTAGAATGGTGATTGCCTGGGGCTGGGAGAGGAGAGAATGCATAATTACTTTGTTTTCCTTTTTAAAAAAAAATTGTTTTTTATTGATTTCAGAGAGGAAGGGAGAGGGAGAGAGAGATAGAAACATCAATAATGAGAATCATTGATCAGCTGACTTCTTCATGTCCCCCTTCCCCTCACTGGGGATCGAGCCCACAACCCAGGCATGTGCCCTGACCAGGAATTGAACCATGACCTCCTGGTTCATAGGTTGATGCTCAACCACTGAGCCATGTTGGCTGGGCTACATAGTTACTTTGAATGAGTATAGAGTTGCTCTTTCTATTTAGGATGATGAAATATCTTAGAATTAGAGAGTGGCAATGGTTACACAACATTGGAATTATATTAATGGCACTGAATTGTACTCTTATAAATGGAGAGCAATAACATGCTTTTGTCTTTAAACAATTCATGGGTCCAAGTGCTACCCTTGAGAGATTGATTCAGTTGACATGTAGTGTGGCTCAAGCTTCTGCATTTTTGTATGTCCTGCAGGTGATTTTGGTTATTCTCAGCTTGAGAACCACTGTTGTAAATGATTCCCAACCTCGCTGGCCATCAGGGAAATGTAAATCAAAACTACAATGAGATACTGCTTCATTACTCACTAGGATGGCTATATTAAAAATAGAAAATACTAAGTGATGAGGTGTAGAGTTATTGAAACCCTTAGGTGTTGCTGGTTTGGAATGTCAAATAGTGTAACTGATGTGGAACACAATTTGGCAGTTCCTTGAAAAGTTAAGTATAGAGTTATCATATGATCCAGTAATTACACTTGTGGCTGAATACCCAGTAGTAATGAAAACATGCTTCCACACAAAGATTTGTACAGGAATGCTTATAGCAGCAACATTCATTATAGTCAAGACCTAGAAATAACCCATATATTAAGATGGAAAAACTAAGGTAGTATATGTATGTAATAGAACTTTGTTTGGCAATCAAAAGGAACAAATTGCTGATACATGCTACAATATGGATCAACCTACAAAACATACATTAAGTTAAAGAAACTGGTCATAAATGACATAAGTTGTATCATTTCACATGTATGAAATATCCAGAGTGGACAAATAGTTTTAGTAGGATAGGTGTTAATTCATTCACCTGTGAAGCCATCTGGTGCAGGACTTTTGTTTGCTGGGAGTTTTTTTCATTACTGCTTCAATTTTATTATTTGCAATTGGTCTATTCAGGTTTTCTGATTCTTTCAGATTCTGTTTTAGAAAATTGTGTTTGTAGGAATTTGTGCATTTCACCCAGACTGTCCAACTTGTTGGCATATAGTTATTCATAGTAATTTCTTACAATCCTTTGTATATCTGTGATGTTAGTTGTTTCCACAACCTTTAGGATGGGCATAGGCACTTCTTCCTTGTGTAGCATGGGCTTAACTCACAAGTGAGCCTGGATTTGCCTTCCCACAATGCAGCCACACTGTCCAGTAGTTGCCTATCTGGTTCCCAGACAGAAACCTTCCCATGAGAAATAGTCCGAAAATCCCAGTTGTGTGCAACTCCCTGCCCTCCCACACTGCCAAACCAAGGAGGATGGACAGAAAGTCAGCATTGTGTGGCACTTCCAGTTTTCATGTGGCTGAGCTGAAATTGTCTTCCCTGCTTGGGCTTTGAACCCAGCAGGATGGGGCTAAAAGTTCAGCTGGGCCATGCTGCCAAACCCAGCAGTACAGGGTCAATTTTTGCAGCCTTGTGCAGCTCCCCTGCGCTGTCAAACCCACCAGGAAGGGACAGTTTGAGTGTCTGAAAAGCTCAATAGGGGGATATAGGGTTGCCCACTGTGCCGTCGAGGTTGGGGAGTTTGTTTCTTTTTCCCAAGCCACACAGTTTTGTCAGTGTGTATGTCTCTGCCAAGGGCCTCGGTAGAAATCACTGCTGGTATAGCCCACAGAAATCTCTCAAAGGTCGTATTATAGCAGTGTGGACTCTCCAGCAGTCAGAGTCCAGAGTGAGCTTGCCAGGCTGGTACTGTAACTTTAGGAGTGCTCTTTATCCGGGAGAGTGCAGTTCAAGTC